TGTGTTAATATGCCACAGATTCGTTTAGAGCCGTCGATGTCTTGGCTAAATATGAAGACCCAACCGGCGATAGCTACGCATGCGCACCATAACAAATGAGGGCCTTAACAACAACGTGACAGTTGTAATTAAATGCCAAGATTTTTCGGTAATCAACATCAATTGGCAGGAAAATTCTCACAGATAGTTGACCGCCATCTATTCGTTGTATGGAGGAGCTGTGGTATTAATCATCAGTGATCTTCGGTCAGGGAAACTAGCAATTCATCGAATTGAATGTCCGTCCAGTAGCAGCGATCAACTTGCACAACACCCCAACAAAAGACGGACTGACAGACACTGCTGTCCTACATTCGAATAAATTTTTATTAATGAATTTGCTGTGCAATTTGTTGTCGTCATGTTTTGCTTTGCTAGTGTGCTTTTAAATGTCAGCATTATGGTCAAATGTTTTTTTTTGTTTTTCGTATTTTTAATAATTGTCAGTGAGTACGTGTGTGTGTGAAATGGTTTACTTGGTGTGCCATATAACTATGACAAGTGTGCAGTTTTGTGAAATGATCACATGCGGAAGTTTTTCGCATCCCAACTAGACATTATCATGAATTGAGCTGTAATTTGTTGGGAAATGGGACAATTGATATTCGTCTAGCGATTAATTATATGATTTTGAATTACAGTATACAATTGTAGGTCAGTTAATGTGATGAAAATACTTAAAAACTTATTCCCTATTTCGGGTGAAAGCACACAATACATCACAAATATACATCAACAAATATGTCTTATTAATTCACCCCCTAATATTTTATCAAGAGTGTAACATCTATTTAATTTGCTGATCTGTATGCATTTCCTTGAATTTTTCCTCCATATTTCAATGTTTAGAGCGGTCAACATCTAAAGGATATCCCCAATGCTTTTGTTGAACACAGGCATCAATATTTATGAAAATATTTGCCGTACTTGTAGAGTAATTCCAAGTTTGTTGTGATACTACTTAGCATTGTTGAAGCCAAATCTGTACGTTTCGGTAGCAACTTCATAAATAAGCAAACACACATTATTAGTCAACATTTGAAAATAAACAAAAGTTCACGTTTTTTTTGCTAAGTTCGCGTGATATAAACTGCTGCTTCACAGCTCCTATCGTTATGCAGCAGACCCCACAGAGTAGTCAAACCTTTTTGAAGTTAAGAATGAAGCTGCTATACACGGCTGTGTTTGTAATTCAGATTATGCTCAACTTAAAGCGTTAAAAGAAGCATGGACATCTCCGGAATAGCAGAAGATTTTTTTCCATTTGTTGTACAATGTTTATTTTTGTTGAAGGGATATTGTTTGTAAGAGTATTTTTTTGCAACTGTATGGATGACCACCAACCAAGTTCTTGAGAATTGCAAAAATTCACTTTTTCTGCTCTATAACACATTCCTTAATGACCGCAAGAATTTTGTAATTACAACGACTAAATTGGTTGGCTTGTTGTGGCAGGGTGTCGGCAATAACACAAATAAATTATGCAACTGATTGCGAATTGCATATTGAAGAGAAAAAAACTGAGCAAAGGAACAGTAGCGAACAGAAGCTTATGTTTACAAACCCGAAAAAAAAACAACCAAAACGAAGTCATTTTGAAGGAACAGATAAAGTGTATAGCAAATTGGCATAAAGAACTAAATTTGCATCGAAATTTAGTTATGATATCAGTGCAAATAATTAAGTCAGATTTTTCTTCAATGCAATATATTAACAGTTTTAGAAACATTCTCTCATATTCATCATTTTTAAAAAAAGGAGTTGATTTTTTTTTGGAAATTTGTACTGTGAAACAATCACAACGAATAAGGTATGATTTTCGAAACATAAATATTTCTTGCTAAAAACTATTTACTGAGTAATGTGTAGTTTAAAAGTTATAGAAGAAATTTGAATTAAAGTATAAATTCATTGAATAAATGAAATGTAAATTTTTCGCGGGGTATTACAAAAATATGTTGTTGGGGATCTGCCAATCCATTGGATTACGAAATTGAAATAGACCTCATCGATCTCGATAAATATTTTATCGATGAGGTCCCATCTCCACCAAAAAAAAACGTCACTCTTCTTCTTGAAGTTTACAAGCAAGTGGATATAAAATTTGAAGTTAATATTTCATCAATTTGAAATCAATAAAAAAGACCGACAGTGTCGGATTTTTGAATATTGAATTGAATTGTTTGAAGTGTGTTTAATTTTCAGTCAACAAAACGTAAGTATCGTCTGAACACTCGTTGTAGTTGCAAATTTATATTGTTGTCCGTAATTTTAGATTCTAAAACTACTCAGTAGATTTAGAATCCCTACAAGTCCTTTCGACTGTATCGGAACTTGTACCTATGTATTGTATATGATCAAAAATGAGCCTAATTTGTATATGTGCTTAGAATAATAAATACTATTTATAAATGTTTTTACCGAACAGAAATTATATACACTATAGCCCCGAGTTGCGTCATCACCATTTCCGTCGACTTAAAAAAAAAATAAAAAAATATTTGCGTTGGTCCGAGCTGTATAGTTGTCGCACAGGTTTTTTTCAACCTGTGCGATTTCCGCTAAATCTGTAACATTGAGTAGTTCTATTTTTTTAACTCCAATAAGTTAAGATAAAAATTCAGATATGAATTTCAAAATATTTAAAATGGGATTTTGGTTGGTAATTGCTGTTGGGAACTTCAAAATAAATAATATGAAGCGATTCCATATACTGAAAAAATCTGTAAAGATGACTATGGTCGGATATATGAGGCGTTATCTGGTTTAATTACAAAATGTGAATTTCAAGAAATAGATGAGTGTATCGGATAACCAAACTTCTGACATAGCGTCAAATTAAAGCTAATATCATAAATTCTAAAAGAGTAATATCCTAATTTTAATGCCTTTATGTAGATATTTATTAAAATTTAACATGAGCACTCAATAAGTAAGAAAAAATGTTGCGTTGATGAACATTCAGGTAATTGTATAAAATGTCATTTTTATATCGGTTAAATGAATACATTTTTACTACATGGGATATCACTGGTAAATATTAGGTTGGGGAAAAATAAATCCATTATTCTTATATGAACTTTAGGCCAAATATGCACAGTTTTGATGTACGTGTTGTCATTCTCTCTCATAGAAGTCCTGGTCTCTATTTGCAAAAAAACTCTAGTAGTCGATTTTCACGATCCTCCCAGATACCAATTTTTTATCAATAACGAAATTTTCCAATGCAAAAAAAATATATGATAATCGCTTGGTGCCAAGTCCGGACTGTATGGCGGATGCATTAAAACTTCCCAACCAAGCTCCCGAAGTTTCTGGCGAGTCACTGCAGACGTCTGTGCCCTATCGTTGTCCTGGTGGAACACGACACCGCTTCTGTTGGCCAATTCTGGTATATTGCTATCTTCAAACGGTCCAGTTGTTGACAGTAGAGATCAGAATTTAGCGTTTGGTCCACCAAATGCATAGCAGAACCTTCCTGGCCGTTAGTCCTGGTTTGGCCACAGTTTGAGGTGCTTCGCCGCTCTTTGACCACGATGGTTTACGCACAGGGTTATCGTATCGTAACAAATGGGTCTCACTCAGTTTGGCCAAGGCTTCGCAGATGGAGATTCGATCCACCCTATTTTTTCTGGTAATTAGTGTGGCACCCAAACATTGAGCTTATTTTTTAATCCAGCTTCGTGTAAATGCTTTAAAACAGTTTTATGGCTGATGTTACGACTGCTAACAGCCGGTCAATTTCGATAATTTCTCCGATTTTATCGACATTTTCGACGAACGGCCTAATGGATTTCTTTTTCCCCATCCTAATATATGTATATACCCAACGTTAAGGTATAAATATTTACGACCTATGGATGCAACTATGTAGGCATAAATTTACTATTATTCGTTCACAAAGTGTGTTCCATAACTTTTTAACAGCTATATGTTTCTATAGGACACTTCGCCGTGGGGTATTTATACACAATTTGAAAAATAAAATAAATACACTAATATCAAAATTTTATATATATGAACCACATATTTCTGCAATACTTAAGGAGAGAATTTCTGCACAACTTAAATTTTTCCTTTAAATACCTTTCAGGCCAAATAAAAAATAACTCCTTATTTTATAGACAATATAAATTTGAAACGAACTATCAACGGATGGACCATATAACAAACTCTGTCGATGAAATAATAAAAGTATATACCAAGAATCCAAATGTGTAGCATTTTCTGTGGGCGGAGCTTCAATTCGACAACAAATGCCAGAGCAAAGAGATAAACACACACACACTCAAAAACATGCTATCTCTGTCTATGCTCAATAGCACGATTGTTCACTGCTTTGTGTACATCTTTGCTACAAACCGGACTGAGTGAAACACCCCACAAGTATTCGCTCACAAAAGATAACTTGGCATTTCAGGGGCCAACCACAGCGATGTTATTGGTGGTGGTGGTGGTATGATGGTGGTGTTGAGTGAATTATGAGTGAGTGGAAGACAATGATTGTGTTCTGTGCTATGTTTGCGTTGTGTTAGTCTGACTTAGGATGCTTGAGTCGATTGCAGGAAGTCAGTTTTCTCGAGAGTCTCTAACCGTAACAAACGCCAAGCGAATCGGGAAGACAAATTAATTTAAAATAAAAGAAAAGCAAAATAAAACGAGAATAATTTTTATTGAAAGCGATTATTGATTATCAAAACACAAACTTGCAATTTAAAACCAGACAACAAAAGAAATGTGAAAATTTTAGAAGTAAATTAAGAAGTGCTATAAAATTCACACCGACGGCAATAAACAACAATCGTGCAGTTTTGTTAATAGTATTATTTATGCAAGCAATTGTTGTGAATTGTAAGTTTTATTGTATTTTTTAAACAAAAAACGCCTGATTTTGCATAAGACAAAAAGCATTGGAAAATTTAGTCAATCATTGCCAATAAAAAATATTTGTGTGCTTAAGAAAATATGGTGACCATAATGCCATATAGCTACTCAGCTCCCCGATGTGGATTAATTGATAAAATGATTGAACCGAAGGTATACAAAATTCATCATATTCATTACTAATTAAAAAAAAAATCATAACAACAAAAATCTACTAGGAAGCAAAACTAAAATATGACAAACACTTAAATGTCATTATTATATTATTGTAGTCATTCATCCATTTTGGAATTTGATATATACACACACATGCATATTTACATACATAGGTATTGTTATTTTAATGAATGGAATTTTAATATGAACGACATAATTAGTAGTACGATTAGAATAAATATGTGTATATGCTAATATACGTATTCGGTATATGACGAAAAATATATGTATGTACTTTTTTTGATAGGGAATATTTGACATGATTTGTAAAGAATAATGATTCAATTGAATGTAACTCTCTTGATATCTTCCCAAATATCATCTCAGAATGTTATTGACGCCATTAGGTTATTGAATGCAATTAGATAATTATAGATCCTCAGTGGTCCATGAAATGCGTAAAGTAATTCTAAATTACATATGTCATATGTCTGTTTTTAATCTGTCAATAATCGTGGTTCTGTACAATTTTATTAAACATGACAATACATTGGAAACTTAAAATAAATTGTTGTTGGAAGATGTTATATTTGAAATTTATAATTATATTGAAATTTATAAAATTCTCTTGTGTCGCAATATTAGCTGCATTTTTTCCATTTGCTTGCTAGGAAGTTTATCTGATATTTGTCAGATAAATCGAAATTTACATTCCAATTGGAAATAAATGCAAAGATACAAGATGTTAAAATACTGCATCTTCTGTTTATGTTGAAATATTGAGAATTCTGAAGATGACACCAAAACCATGCCGGACTTTACCAAAGAAGGTTATGGTAAATTATGTCGCACATGTATCGGCACAGTGTTCAAACTCGGCATTAGATGACATATTTCATATAATTGATGTTGAACAAATTAGAGCTGCACTCCTCAAAGTAAAAGTAGACAAATATATTCTCAAGTACTAACATTTTATTAAAACCATATTCTAGATGGAAATGTATCCTTTAGTTTACATTATATGTACTATAGTATAACTATTACCATTTCCCAGCCTTTTACATTATCTGCTTGTTTGTGGTTTTACAAAGGTTCCAAAAGCTTTTCTTCATTTGCCGTTGCCAATTCGATTACTTTGAGTATGATGAAAGATATTCCAAGACATTTCATTAGTCTTTATTTCATTTCTGCTGCTGTTGTTGTTATTTTGTTTAATTTTACGATCTTGATCTGTTGACAAGTTTGTGGTAGCCTTAGACATTGTGGTGGCAAATATCCCACACAGCGGAACACAAACAGTTTGTTCTGAATCCTGATTTTACAAATTAACCCCCTTAGACCCGAACACCGTCGCCAGCAAACATCACACACACACAACTGTATGGCTGTTGACAAATTTTCACAAAAATAAAAGCAAATTAATCAATTGCTTTAATGAATGGCCGCGATAGGCTTGGACTGATAGCACAGAAATGCGAATTCAAAACCTTCAGACTTCAAATCTACTTAAGATTGTGATCGTATGCTTGAAGCGTGAGCAACAAATCTTGAAGGTTCTTAATTTTTGGCACTTCATAAGTCATTTTAATGGAAAACAAATTGTGAAACGCGCTACAATAAAATTCGTCCCTGCCTGCTAACCCTCACCCGCACCCTAGCCAGCGAAAGCATTTGTATAATGACAAATAAAACAAACAAAAAATCAATAACTTGTTAATTATAATTAATGAGGAGTAGAAGAACAACAAACTCACACACACACACACATATACACTCTCACTTTAAATTATGAATAATAACAAATCAAATTATTTTTAAATAATTTATCTCCAATGAAAATCTCCTCGCTAACTAAACGAAGATGAGCAGCAGAAAGACAGAAAAGGTGTAATAAGTAGGGGTTGGGGGGAAACAGAGATGAGGCACAGAACACCAAGAAATGTGTAAGATAACGATCTGTCAACCGAGTCAGTGTGAGGCTGTAAAACCGAATGTGTCCCAATGAGGAAAGGCTTGAATGGCTTTTGAAGGCTCTTTAAGGGTTAAACAGGTATTCAGACTCAGCCATCCATGTATCTTTTCTTTCGCATCGGAGAAGAGTCGTTCGTTGGCGATAATGATGCTGGTGCTGTTGTTGTTATGGTCATTTGCTTGTTCTATACCCGTATCCGTAGTAGTCGCTTGCAGGTTTCCCCGTTGCTGTTCTTGTTGTTGTTGCCTTTTATATATTTTAATGTTTTGTTTGGCGACTTGTGCCATAAATTAGTTGACAGTTTTGTTGCTTGCTGGCCTGGCCTGACTGTTGTGTTTCAACTCCAAAAACAAAACAACAACAACAAAAACTCAGAGGGGACAAACGGTTGGTTAACTGTTGTTGTGGGGCTACATTGGTTGGCACCGAGTCTGGGGATTCCGGTGTCTACCACATACTGGCCAACATCATAAACATGGGCCACTTAACAGATCGTGATCTTCATCATCAGCACAACACATAGCCTCAGCTCAGCTCGGTTCGACTCGCGATTCGGCTGTTCAGCTTCATTGCTCATTTCATCTGAATAATTTTTGGTGTTACTTTTTTTATTATTAATTTTAATTGTTGTTGAGATAACAACAGCCAAGTCAGCCGGGCATAGAGAGTTAGGCATTCATATGCCCCGCTTTTAGGAATCACACCAAGACGATTTGTATTTGCAAAGACAACAAATTTATAGTTTATTTCACACAGATTTTCCCATCAAAATGTTGTGATTTTTTCATTCCTGTTGTTTTTGTTGTTGACATTTTGCAAAATTTTTGTTTAGCTATGTAAAAAATGTTTACAAACATAATCGCATTTATGTTTGGCAATGATAATGAAGGCGACACCTTTTTAACGGCTGACTGTTCCCGGAATGCTGACTCAAACGTTTTGCTGACATTTTTTCCTCAAGTCTAGCGCCTCATGGCTGACTGAAAACGCAAGCTTGCATGAGAATGTGGCCATTTGTGGCCCAGAAGAAGTAAAACAACATAATTATGCTTATTAAGCCATTCTTTGTTTTGTTTAGGCCTCATTAATCCTGTTTTAATTAAAAAAATAAAGGCTCACCCACAAATTTACTGCAAATTTTATGGTTTTATAAAAACAACAAACTGGGTTTCAGCCTGACTATTTTGCAAAAACAAAATTCTGCAAAAAAGGTTTTGGAATTTCACGTTGGAGAGGTGTGACATATTTGAACTAATATCGGGAATATTCACATTCAAATAAATTGTCCAATAAAATTATATTTCAAACCTGGCAAATAACTATGTATTTATTTTATTCCTACAGCATTTGTTATCTTCTTTATCATTCTGCGACTAAAGTCAGAATAGCACACAACACGAAACGTCAAAATGCACGCTTCATGCATTCGTTTGCATGGTCATGCAAAATAATTTATAGAGTATTGAAATGTGTCACTGAAATATGTTAAAATTCCTCTAAATACCCTTTATTCTCACTTGCTTGCTGGGCAGTCTGCTTCCTTGGATGAAATGTAGGTAGTCCGCACGCACGCATGCCAAACTAAGGAGCGCGCTTGCATGAAATGTCATGTTGGTTGGCACGCAAAAATACTCCTGGTATTTAATGTCACATCGGCCACACTACATTTCTCTAAAAAATGTTTTTGATCTCTGATTTTTTGTTTGTTTTTACATTTTTATGCTTAGCCAACAGAGTCAACGGAACTTAGAAGTAACCATGTCTTTTCTCTTCCTTTTTCATTTCAGGTTAAACGTCCCAAAACAGAGCCTACAGATACAAATGATAGAAATCGGTAAGTTGGCAATAATCAGTTGTACGAAGTGAATTGATTTATTCAAACTATTTTAAGCTAAGAGTGACCTACCATTTTCCAATGGAATTCCAACTACATTGCTTTGATAGACTTCTATTTCATGTTTTTCTTTTATACAAATAATCAATCAGCCATAAAACCAAATGATAAATAAAGGTGTCATATTTTATGAACAATTTTAGAAGAAAGGCGTGTGATTTCTAGACACGAATCATTGACGAAAGACAAACGAAAATGTAAACGAATATTCAAATAAAATCATTCCCTGGCCAGCAGATGTTTAAGCCAAATTATGGAGATGAAAAAACATGAGTAGAGAAAGAAGCAAGACGACGCTTCGTTTGTCAAATACAACAATTTGTCATTGATTCAAAAAAGAAGATTTTTTAGCATTTTCCTGTGGGCGTTGTATGTGTTCCTTAATCCCTTAAGTAGGGGCACATCGCCTATCCCATTCCCATTATGAATTATGGAATATGGTCCCTCTTTAAATGACATCGAACAATAATAACAGAAATTAAATGATGGGAAAAATGGAAAATGTGTGCGTGTTAAGACTCTTTAGCAGTGCACTTTCCTTTCACAAATATTTCCACGGAGAGAAAACACTGTAAAATGAACAATTTTAGGGAGAATAGTTTGTCACCTCTATGTCTGCCACATGTCCTCTGCATTCCGAGAAATACAGCCGCATATGCCTCTTTCTGTGGAGGAACATGACGATTATGACATTTACAAGTAAACAGTGAATTTTACAGCTGTGACATTTGAAACTTAAACTTAAAGACACAAATTTTGGGTTAAGTACAATTTGTGTCACTTTACAATTTGTTTAAATGAATGTCGAAAAATCGAATTCATAATAAAATATTTTATTGCTACTTTTTTTTAAATGTCTAATCAAAAAATTTTTTAATATCGATTTTATTATTTTTTGTTCAAAAATAAACGAGTTTGGCCAGTCCAAACATTTGTTTACCACATGTTTTAGATTCGAAGGAAAATCCTTTTCGTTTTCTTCTAAAATTGTCGCAAACACTTTATAATTATTTCCCAAAATCTTTCAAAGTGCTCGTTAAAACCCAACACATTACAAATTATGAACCGAAAGGAACACCAACAACAACAACAAAGAAACACTTGACAAGATCAATACACATATCGGTTTTGAGTGAGCACATGCGCAAACAGCTTAGCAGTCATTAAAAGTGTCCCTTGCCTCCTCTTGTGGTATGGGTCACACAGTGAGTGGCTGTGTGCGTGCGTGTGTTCGTGCGTTCAGCCAACCACTTGACTTTACGATTCATATGTTGGACGATCGAGAATTTTATTTATTTTTAATTTGTTTCTTTTCAAAAAAGGCGCACATAAAAATCATTATACGACCCTCAAGATGTTAAATTTCAGTTGACATTTTATGGTCTTTCGAAATCAATAAAATTAATATTCCCTTTTGATCGAACACAGATTACAATAATTTGCTTTCTCTTACAGACTCTGTACGGCGGCCCAAAACTCGATTACAACACAACAGTCCGCCTCACATTTGCAAGGTCCACTGGGGAGCTCTCAGACAGGCTCTCCATTAACAGCTAGTGGTTCCTCCTTACTTGCCTCATCCAGTCAATGTAGTCCTCTGGCATTGCCACCACAAACCCAACCGCTGCAGCCTACCATAACCTCCTTGGCCTCACTCTCAAATTATCATCACGCTCACGCATCGCAACACCAGCATTCACCACACCACCATCAGCACCAACAACAACAACAGCAGCATCATCAGCAGCAACCACCTTCTTCAGCGTCATCACTAAGTGCGAGCAGCTGTAGCCTAACCGCCAATAATCTACCATCTCTTTCCAACGCCTCAGCCTCTCAATTTGCCCACACGGCAGGTAGCAGCAGTTTCTCAACATATCAGCAGCATAGCATAAATGCATCAGTGTCTGCTACATCTACAACAACAAATGATAATTCCACCACGCTCTCATCGTCCAATTCCACCTCAGCATCAGTGAATGCGCTGAGCAGCAGTAGTAGTGGCATGTCACACTGGCTAAATACTGAACATCAGTCTGCCACACAACTGCCTTCCGTCAAGTCAGAGAGTCGCTCGCCCGGCATAACGAATTCGAATCAAACGACACAGCAGCATTTGCAGTCATCGTCGAACGCCACAGAAGTGACAGGTCTTAGCGGTCACTTGGAATCGGGTGCCAACAACGGAAACCATCCTAACTCCGTATCGAATCTATACAGTTGTTCGGCTTCAGTGAACTCCTCGACGGGTTTGGTTGGTCTCGATTCGCCCAGCAATACACTGAGTTCCTCGTCCATGGCTGCTGTAAATTCCACTGCAGCAGCTGCCGCGGCAGCCGTTGCCTACGACACCAAACACGATTACTACAATTATTACAACAGTATGCAACAATATACACCGCCATTCTATTCCACCTACGGCACTCCCTATACGACAGCGGCCAGAGCTGCACCAAAGATAGAACCATCATCGCCCTATCTAACATCGACATATGCCTCCAGCAATAATAACTCGGCACAGCTTTATCCCACAGCCTATGGCTATAATAATTTTGCCCAGTTCGGTTCGGCTGCCGCCCAACAGGATTACTCCTCGTACTATAACGATCAATATGGCAACTACTATAATCCCGCGAATTATTCCCCGTATGCTGTCAGTTCCCCAAGCTCCAGTGCCAGTCACGGTTTCCATGTGGCAGCCTCCAATCTTTCGGAAAGCCCCACCGACACTCACTCCACAACTCCAGTTTTGCACAACACCCATTCGCCGCATTCTCCTCTACCCATTTCGCCCAACAACAACATGGCTTCAACTGGCAACACTGCCTCGAGTAATGCAGCGACGTCATTGCCGAAAACTACACCCACTGGCAAGACTGGCCGATCTCGAGGACGTCGCCACCAGCAACCTAGTCCGACACGCAGCTGTACCTCCGACACACCAAACAGTGAAGCTGTTAAGCCCCCGGAGAGGGTGTTCATTTGGGATCTAGACGAGACCATTATCATCTTTCACACACTGTTGTCGGGTTCCTTTGCCAGCCGTTATACCAAAGATCACAGTGCCCTAATGACGATAGCCTTTCGCATGGAGGAGATGGTCTTTAATTTGGCCGACACCCATTTCTTTTTCAACGAAATCGAGGAATGTGACCAGGTCCACATCGATGATGTTTCATCGGACGACAATGGTCAAGATTTGAGTACATATAATTTTGCCACTGACGGTTTTCACACAGGAGCACCACCCGGCGCTCCACCGAACTTGTGTTTGCCCACTGGTGTAAGAGGCGGTGTCGATTGGATGCGCAAATTAGCTTTCAGATATAGGAAAATTAAGGAAATCTACAACACCTATAGGGGAAAGTAAGTAACCGAAATAATAATTTAACCGGGAATAAAACTAATTGCGATTCTTTTTTCTTTTAGTGTTGGTGGTTTATTGGGACCTGCCAAAAGAGACGCTTGGTTACAAATCCGCCAGGATATTGAAATGGCTACCGACAATTGGGCCTCGTTGGCTACTAAATGCCTAAATATGATAGCTCAACGTGAAAATTGTGTTAATGTTCTGGTGACTTCAACTCAATTGGCACCAGCTTTGGCCAAAGTCCTGCTCTTTGGTCTGGGAGGCATCTTCAATATTGAAAATATTTACAGTGCCCACAAAATAGGTAAGTTTGTACGTTTGTAAAATAAGTTTGGCGAAATAATTTACTTATTTTTTGCTGTTCTTCCGTTCTTCGTTACAGGTCAGGAAACTTGTTATGAGCGTATTGTGACGCGTTTTGGACGCAAAAGTACATATGTAGTTGTGGGCGATGGTGCCGAAGAGGAATCAGCCGCCAAAGCCATGAACTTCCCATTTTGGCGGATATCATCGCATAGTGATATTAGAGCTTTGTACACGGCACTCGATATGGGTTTCTTATGAAAAACTTTACACGCATTCGCTGTGCTGGTTAGGGCAACATTGTAAATTATCAGAAAAGCAGAACAACAAATTAATGGCAAGAATGAAATCTTCTGAAAAACACGCACTAATTTTCAAAGACTTAAAAACAGAACAAAAAAAAAAACGAGACAAAAAACCTGTACAAAATTTACACTGACTTTTGAAAATGTAAAATTTTTGTTTTAAATATAATTATAAATTATTTATTAAAATGTCTATATAATCTAAGTTTGACATACACACACATGCATACATACGTAGATTATAAATAAATAAAATTAAGCACAAAATAATGTAATTATTTTGTTTATAACACAACAACGTTGCACATATTATTTAAATGTATTATTAGATCAGTTTTTGTTTGTGTCATTACTGTATAATGTTTGTATATTATTTTCTTTATTAGTTTTATTACTTAATTTTAATGGTAATTCTGAAATAAGCAAAAGAGTTATATGCGAGTGTTCTATAAAAGCAAGCACACATTTATTTTGAATAAGTAGATGTATTTGTATCTGTACTTTGCATTAGTATTAAATGTTAGTGATTAGAAAAAAAACAAAATAACTGAGAATGTGTTGTATGACACGACGACGCCAACAACAACAAATAAATATTATTATTATAAATTATTTAGTTAAAAATGTATTATGCAAAACTATAAAATAAAAACAAAAAAGGAACAATATTAAAAAAAAAAAACAAAATAAAACACAAAAATAAAAAAGAAATCCTACAATTAATTTCAAAAAATCAAATAAAAACTTGCACTATTATAAAGAATAAAGTACATGTTTATTTATTACAAATTTACGGAAAACACAAATAAGGTGACACTACAGTGGCGAGCAAAAGTGTGCAAAGATTTGTAAAATTTCTTCTAAAAAGGCTATAAAATTGTTCTAGCTACGATATTCCAACGAATGTTTATTCACTATTTGTTACATTATATCATGGTGCAAAAAATAAATAAAATGTACAACTCGTGAACAACAGCAACAAATGGCGAGTAACATCGCAAATGTCAATTTATAATTAACCGTTATTTTTGATTATGTTTTGGTTTGATACCGACTTTGTGTGTATTTAAAAAGCTTTAGTAGAGTTTCCAAAATGTTAGTTCTGAATAATTTTGGGACAGTCAGCAGACAAATAATTAAATATTTACAAAGTAGTCCATAATGTCGTCCACATTGTTCGTATAAGTCGAAATATATTACCGAAATGTATAACATATGGTCCCTAAAGATTGTTAACTGACGCATATGCAGGACATATTGAGTGTTCAACGAGGAATAGTGATACCAAAACCAAAATTATAAATCGACTCATACTAATATTTCATAATTTTTTTTCTGAATTTTAGGTGTTTTGTAAACTTTGCTATATCTCTTGCAAAATCCAACCTTTATTTTACCTTGTTAACACGAACTTGTAATTGCTTTTACGATAGGTGTTACAAATACGTACATACCTGCAAAAGAAAGAAAAAATTATATATTAGTAAATTGGAAAATATAAAATACGTATATTTTTATGTCAGTTTTTTCTCTTTCAAGTCGAGCTTAATGTTCGAAGTTTTTTGCGAAGAACCTACGCACCCATCATTATGCGACACGTTTCGCCGTAGTTTAAGCGGTTCATCAGGCATATTGGGCAATGTGGCTTTACAAAGGTCGTATGTTGATAATATGTATTTATAATTCAAATTTATCAATGTCCGACATTTGTCTTCACTCACCTATAAGGCTATACCTATATATCGACTTGAAAGAGAAAAAACTAACTTAAATATCATTCAAATGATCATAGTTTACTGGCAAAACTAAAATAGATAAATTATGTAAATATATATAAATTGAAATAAAACCTATAAAAAAACCTATATATAAATTGAAATAAAACCTTTGTGTGAAGTTGACAATCAATGTACTCATTTTAAAGTCACATAGCTATACAATAATGTATATTCAAATTTCGAAAATTTTCAATGGGTTGCGAATTGAGCCAATCCATATATAGGATCAGGAACCCATTTTTTTTTTTTTTTTGCAAAAAATCGATTTCACTCCATTTCAAATCCGGCTTACATGAAATTTAAATTTTAACATGAAATGACGATCAGTTTAACTGATGGAACTGGAGATTATAACGAAGGTAAAAATATGAGGAATTTAAAAATAAACATAAAAAATTCCTTAAATAATAAATAAATTTGATTTCCAAAACCTTGTGCCAAGCAGTGCCATGGTGTATTTTAATGGTTAGAGCACCAATCGAATTATAGGGGAGAGGGGAGCACCTTCTGAACGGGGGCACCTTTGAACAGCGCTCATAAAATCTTTTTCCGACCCGCTACGACATTTTTGTATATGACAATCTTGTTCTTTATCTGCGTAAACCACTTTGGCTAGCTTTTCCAGTTGTCGACAAATTGTACATGGGTAACCATGTTTTCGCAGTGTAATTGTAAACTTTTATTCTTTTGGTTGTAAGGGCGCAGGAAGAATTCTGTGAAGGTTTTCTTTCGTTAAACAATTTTTTTGCATTAATTTCAAACATAACTAATGTAATTGCTATCATATATATTTATTACGAAAAAAGTTATTATACATTTCCGTAAAATGATACGGGTGGGGCACCTTTGAACATGCCCATTAAATTCGAGTAAAAAGCGGAGTTTTTAACTTTTGGCTTCGATTTCTCAAAATTTCAAATGGGATAATAAGACTACGAAATTAACTGTATTTTTCACCATATTAATTTTTGTTTTTATGTTTTAATAAATTTTGATCTGAATTGTTTAATTTTCGAAAATTTTTGTATATATTTTTTATTTTTGAATAAAATACATTTTTATTTTAACATAAACACTGCAAAAAACCAAGCCGTCCAAAAATGTTAAGTCTTGTTCTTTAGTTTTACGTTTTTCTTTTAGAATCGTAATCAGCGTCCTCGAAACACTTATATGCGACATTTATTTATTTCATAAACCCACTGCTTTAATTATGGCCAAAAATGGGAACTTTGACTCGTAGTGCATTCGTTTAAATATTTCCCAGTTAGACAAAACCAGGGAAATTAGATCAATAATGATGGGATGGTATCCCATCAACAATAAAACAAAAAAATTAAAAGCCAAAAATAATAATTTATAGAAATTCCTGATATATATATATCGTAATATGTTTTTTAAACTTTTTTAAACACTTTCAAAATAAACGACTCATATACGTCAAATTTTATATATGTTCACTTCCGCAAAAAAGTAAACCAAAGTCGAAGAATTTGTTTCTTTAAGTATACTTAAATACGTAAAGTAAAGGCAAAAAATACAAAGAAAGACCACATTTGTCATTTTTTCTTCTTGTTCGTAGCATATATATTATTTTAATGACTAAAAATGCAGACACTGCAGAAATAAAAACTGCAAAATAAACAATGTCTCGCGAGTGACCGAGAAAAATCCTTCGCAAATAAAAGATATGTCATATTTTGAAATTTTGAAAATGCAATAATAATAATGCCTGTAGGCCTATTCTGTAACTTTTTAACAACATTCGATATTGTTTATTTTACAACAATTTCATTTGTTTGTTTTATTGTTTTTACAATAACAAAAGAAATTTAAACAATATCGAATGTTGTTAAGATTTACAGAATAGGCCTACTGATATCTCTTATTCATGTAAAGGATATAAAAGTTCAAAATATTCACACAATTCGCAGAGTTTTCCCATTATTAGTAGCGATGTCTAAAGTCATGTATATTTGAAGTAGTGTGAGTGACCGCTCTTTTGTGACTTTTATCTGAAAAGTTAAAAAACTAGAGGCTCTCAATTTGTTTACCACTGATAGTACTCCTAAAGTTCTACAAAAAATATTAAGGGAGAATTGTAAAAAATGAAATTGTTTTCGATTTATTTAAGATTTAAAATTTGATTTTGCCTCTGAAAGTCGTGCGGATGTGCCCATATAGTTGCCCATATATTTGCATTAGTATTAAATGTTAGTGATTAGAAAAAAAAAACAAAATAACTGAGAATGTGTTGTATGACACGACGACGCCAACAACAACAAATAAATATTATTATTATAAATTATTTAGTTAAAAATGTATTATGCAAAACTATAAAATAAAAAACGAACAATTTAAAAAAACAAAAATAATAAAAAACTCTTACAATTAATTTCAAAAAATCAAATAAAAACTTGCACTATTATAAAGAATGAAGTACGCGTTGATTTATTTATAATTTAAGATGTCACACAAGTGGACGAATACAAAGAAGGTGACACTACTTATCGTTTGACCACGAACTTTGTTTGATTTCGTTGTCAGATCGATATGTCCAATACCGTTCAAAACCTACAAAGTCACAGTTTGTTTATGCGCTGCGACTGGTGAGCGCTACTGTGAAATGATATCCAAAATTGGACTACTCGCAAAAAATATATATAGACCATACTATCGATTCAAATTAAGATTTCACGCATTTTCTCATTTCTTGTATTTTTTTTTCTTTTGAAAAAATCTATATCTCTTACAAAATCAGCCTTTATTTTACCTTGTTAACATCAAACCTGTAATTGTTTTTATTTACAAATACGTACATACCTGAAAAGAAAGAAAAAATATATATTAGTATATTGGAAAATATAAAATATGTATATTTTAAGTTAGTTTTTTTTCTTCTTTTTCAAGTCGAGCTTCATGTTCAAAGTATTGCAATGAAAATGAAGGCCAGGGAAAGAACCTACGCACCCATCATTATTCCACGCGTTTTGCCGTTGGTTAAGCGGTTCATCAGGTATATTGGGTGGCTATGTGGTTTTACAAAGGTCGCACGTTGATAACTTGTATTTATAATGCAGTTAATGTGAAGTTGCACCCGCGAATTAAATTCAAATTTATCGGTCTTCACTCAGTCCTTTTTATAGTTAGCTACGTTGCTAACTAGAAAGAGGGAATAAATGAACATGAACATACTAAGATTTGTTCTTCAAAGTCTACGCTCCGCCATGATG